TTTGTTTAGGTTCCTAAATCAATTTAATCGGTGATCAAGCAATTAAAAGCATTAACAAATTGGAATAAACAATTCAAATCCCATTAAAGATGAGCAAGTAAGAGATTAAAAATTTAGATTACAGGTGAGTTCAATTGCAATCCTAGAAAAATTAATTTATTTCATAATATCTTATAAAAACTTCGTCCAAAGCAAATATCCATTAATCCAAGTCTAAGAAAATAAGAAAAATACAAAAGTAGAGAGAGAAAACTAATAGTTAAAGCTTTGTGATCTTAATTCTCCCTCTAATTCTCTTGCTTTCTTGCTTTTTTTTTTAACTCCAAATCTTCAAAATAGTTGCTTGTTGGCTCCCTTTTAAAATATTTGAAAAAGATTGCTTAAATAGGCTCCAAATATGCTAATTTCCAAAATCCTGTCAACTTTTTTTACTTTTGGAAAATCTCCCAGCGCTGCAGCACTAAGCTCCAAAATCCCGTCAACTTTTTTTACTTTTTGAAAATCTCCCAATGCTGCAGCACTACTCCAGCGCTGCAGCACTAAGCTCTCTGGAATACTGCTTGTGTGCTTCCTTTTATCAATGCTGCAGCCTTGTTCTCCCAGTGCTGTGGCGGTCTATCAACTTTTAACGTGAGTTTCACCCTGATGGTGTCTGAACTAGGAAAAGTAAACATAAAATTTTAACCTTATCTCAATTTTCCAATGGATTAAGAATCACATCAATTGGACTTCTGGATTGAAAGATATGCTTCAAAAACCACATCACGTTCAGTCCATGCATATTGCTGCAGTGCTCCGAATTAGACAAATATTTTGACCATAATCCGATTAGAAGTAGACAAATTGGTAAACATAAACATTGTAGCCCTTCTTCTTAGAATTTTAGTGGTCCAAGAATCACCTCATTTGGAGTTTTTTAGAGAGAGATATGATCAAAATACCAAAATATATATGAATGAAGCCATCACCATACTTGCACTGATTTTCATCAAATGAGCTTTTTACAACAAATTTCCTACAAAAGCAATACGAGAAATTAGCATTAACTACTATTAAAGTAATTTAAAACAACATAATATAAAATTTAACTAAAATAACTTAAATTAACCACTTAACAAGTAATTAAACTTAAACTAGAAAAATAGCTAAAATGCTAAAATCTGAACCTAAAATCTCAAAGATCTAACTACTTAAACCCCCAAAATGTGTCAAAAGAAATCTATATAATAGAGTTATAGCAAATGCAAAAGCATCGAGATACCTTTTGAAGGTGTCAATACCTTGTTTCAGTAAAGTGTAAAAAAGATAGAAATAATGCTAGTCTCTTCAGCAAATCATCCCCAACGACTACAAAACTTCTCCAACAATAAAAAAGACCTCTCCAGCACATTTACAAGCTGCGAAGAGTAGAGAAAAAGATCATTTGATCAAGAATCAAGAAAGATGAAGAAAAAGGAGAAAAACCACTTATATTCTTCCATAAAGCTTGTGACCTATCGTTGAGCTTCAAATTTTTTGTGCTTGCACTCATATCTTTTGTAATCATTTTTTAACTCTTTCAAAGTCTTACTGCACGTACTTACTCAACAAAACCAACCTTCTAGAGGTATATGTGCTTTATTGTTATGAGAAAAAAAAGGTTATGCTTGAACTTTTGCATAGGTTATAGTTGAGTCTTGAAAGAGTATTTGGTATAGTGGATTACAAACTCCTCAGTGAGACAAGGGAGAGGAATTAGGCACTTATGGAAAAAGCTGAAGCTCTATAAATTCTTTATGTCTTTTTCTTCTTCTTCTTACACTTGAACTTGTGCATTTTGTTTTGAAATTTTTTTTGAAATTCATTTACAGCTCTTTACTCTTCACTTTTCACACTTGTGCTTTTTATTTTGCTTTGAAAAGTTTTGAGAATTTGTTTTTTAAACCTATTCACTCTTAAACTCACTCTTCAAATCCTCTTGATTCCCTTTGATATGTTTGTGTACTTTACTTTGAAGAGTTTTTGCAAGTTTTTTTCATCTTGGTTATTCATTTCTTTTAGTTTATTCTAAAGTTAAAACAAATTTGAGAAATCATCTTTAAGCTTAAAAATTCAACTGTTGAAAAGAATTTTTGGAAATCCAATTCACCTCCCCTCTTAGATATTTCCTCATTATTATTGAGCTAACCTGTCTAACATCATCCAACATTGTAAAAAATGATGCTAAATGAAACAAAACTAGAAAATTCTCGAAGCTAGAGAAAGTTCTCTATGAGTGGTTTGTTCAATACCAATAACATTGGATTGTGACTGGAGATCTAATCACAGAGAAAGCAAAGGAATTTACAAAAAAATTGTACCTTATAGATACTCCAGAATTCCTTTTTTCTTAATGTTGGCTTGAGCGCTTCAAATCAAGACATGGCATCAAGACATATCGTCATTTTGGAGAAAGTGGATAAGTTAATATATTGCTCATGAAGAGCAATTTGCAATCAATAAGACAAAAACTAGATCAATTTCCCATAAAAAATGTTTTCAATATGGATGAAATAAGATTGTTTTATAGCCTACAACTAGATCATTCTCTTCCAACAAAGCAACTTGAAGGTAAGAAACAATACAAGGAAAGATTTACAATTGTTATTTGCTAAAATAAGTATTTTTTGAGGAAATTCCTTTATGGTTCATTAGCAAAGAATGTGAACTTAAGCAGTATGAACTACAAGTATCATGCCAACAAACGAGCATCGATGACTGGGACTTTATTCCAAGAATATGTTCAATAACTTGATAGAAAAATGGATGGTAGAAAGTTCTCTTTCTTCTTGTTAATTGTCCCACTTATCCAAAAACTATTGAAGGTTTGAAAAATATTGAATTGTTTTTCTTAGCACCCAACATAGCATCAAAGATTCAACCTTGTGATGTGGGGATGACATGAGCTTTCAAGATGCATTTTAGTCATCAATTTTATCAAAATCTTTTAGAGGGTTATGAAATTGAGATCACAAATCTAGAGAAGATAAATATTTTAGATGTAAGAATCTTGCAATCTCGACTTGGACCACAAATGTTCAAGCAAGTATAATTGCAAATTATTTTTGATGTTGTGAAATTACGTCTATGGATAATGTAACGACCTCTTCCCCTCGATCGCTATCGGCATTTGAGACTTGTGAGTGAACCCACCAAATCTCAAACAAGCCTTAATTTGATCTCCATATCATATCACATATTAACACCAATAATCATTTACATCAAATATTCACATTGATTAAAACATAACTATTTGATACAAACATCTAAGTTTAATAACTACATGTACAACCAATCATAGTATTTAAACATTCCCACATAGTCTTATGCTTTAGTAGTTACGTCTTTAAAGACTATCGATTTTTACAACCCGTATTATTATATACACAATGACCCTTAGGCAGCGGAGCAATTTGGAGTGGAAATCTAGAGATGCTGTACCTAGGGTGTAGTCACCCTCGTGATGCTGACAAAGTCCTAAAGCTGATTACTTATTTGCAAAAGAAAGAAGAGTAGGGTGAGTCTCACAGACTCAGTGATCATCGACCCCGTGAGTAAGGTGTAGATGGGAAACAAGCTAAAAGCAGAAGAATTGAAGGTTTAAAAACATAAGAATGTCCATATACCAACAATTTATTCAAAAATGGGAAGTTGTGCCTTATGTGCAATTAAATATGTTCATGCTAATTAACCATTCAAAAACGGATTTAAAGTAATCGACTATCATCTTACATAGCAGCCAATGAATGCTGTCACATAAGTAAAAAGGAGCAGTAGCAAACTATTATTTTTCATCGTG